ACGGATCCAGACTGAATTCTTTAAAACAAAATGGCCGCCAGTCGGCTATTTCGAACTTGATCCGAAAAAAAAAATGACGTGCATCAAGGTCCTATTATGTTTAATGTATGTACCAAATTTGAATGAAATCCGTCCATGCATAACTGAGATCCGGGTCCGGAATGGTGAAAATGTGCGATTTCAATGCATTTTCGGCCTTAAAGTGGCCGCCATTTGGCTATCGTTAATGAGATCATGAAACAAATGCACATACATATTTGTGACATGATGTACCTTGTGTGTGTGAAGTTTGAACTCGATCAATCCAAGCATGTCTCAGATACGGATCCAGAACTGAATTCTTTAAAACAAAATGGCCGCCAGTCGGCCATTTCGAACCCGATCCAAAAAAAAAAATGACGTGCATCAAGGTCCTATTATGTTTAATGTATGTACCAAATTTGAACAAAATCCGTCCATGCATAACTGAGATCCGGGTCCGGAATGGTGAAAATGTGCGATTTTGATGCATTTTCGGCCTTAAAATGGCCGCTATTCGGCTATCGTTAATCGGATCATGAAAAAAATGCATGTGCATATGTCCCATATAATGTGTGATGTATGAGTGAAGTTTGAACTTAATCGGTCCATGCATGTTCGAGATACAGGTGATCACGGACGCACGGACGCACGGACGCACGGACGCACACAGGGCAAAACATAAGTCCCCGTTTTCGGACTGCGTCCGAACGGGGACTAATAAAAAAAGGCAGTGCAGCCAGACGGCTACTTTGTAGCCACGTGTTCATTGTTTGTTTGTGTACAGAGTGACCTTTGCCATTTCACTGTTTCATCTCAAGTGTAACATGGTGCGTGGTCCTTGACGCAGTGCGTGTTCTCTGCCCGACTATACGCCATGAATGTCGCTAGCCACGTGAGTCTCGGAGGCACTAAAAACATCCTGTAATCGTGTTCATTGGAAAACAAAACAAATCACTAATAAATTTATGAAAACAGCTCCTTTTTGAATCGATCGAAAAGTACTCTTTTAATTTGCGCACCAAAAACCAATAATTTCCGTTTTTACGCTATTAATTCGTGCACTTTAAAAAATAATTATTTTTACTACCGCGAATTAATCGAGTTTTTACGGTAATAGCGAAATGTTGATTTTGATCTTGTCTTCGTTGATTTCCTGTTTTCACAATACTTGTCTGTCGTCTGCCAGAACAAATGCGCAGTTATCACCTCCATTAAACCAAAGAAAACTGTCAAGTGTAATAATAAGGAAGAGCTCTAGGTTTTTACATTTTCTGTGTTGTTTACAAAGTGTGTGTGTGTTTGGCCGCCATTTTGAATTTATAATGAAGTCATTAGCGAATTAGTT